GATTCGCTGGAAGAACGCTAACTTCTGCGCCGGTGTCGACGAGGTAGCGAACTTTCGTAGTCACATCCGTGACATATAGGAGGCGGCTGTGTTCGCCGGCTACGGTTGCCGTTAACGCGTGCCGACTGGGAAGTTTCCCGAACTGTTTTTCGTGTCATTCGATTTTGAGGTCGGATAATTGCAGGGTTTTCTGCAATTTCTGGAAGACTTAGCGTACTGGTTATGATACCAGCACCAGTCGGGATTATCTGACTCTCGACCACGAGAGACAGATCGCCTACATGAGACACTTCTACGCGGGGTTTTTGACCGACTACGGTCATTGCGAACTCTAAGATATCGTGTAAGCGTGTGACATAGTTCAGCTATGTCATTCGGGGTCGTTTGAGGTTTTTCTTTGACTGAAAAGACCTCGGCCTTAGATGATTTTGTGATTTCTAAGATGCAGTTGGCAGATGCAGCCAGCTCGTCGATGGCGTTGTTTTGAAACGAGACGAGCACTGCCTGCACCTGTTGAGGGAGTTTAGGCAAGAAAAGTTGTCTGAATAAGCTATCATCGAAAGTTCGTTGGCCGATAACCTCTCTCATCCTTAGCAACATGTCTGTCGCAGAACCATGTTGGAGGTCGATATTGTTAAGGAGTTGGTCTAACCGTTGTCAATCAGTTAGATCTCCGCGTTTTAAAATCGATTGTTTGAGAATTTCGTAAGGTTCCGGAACATCACTAGTAAACATAGTAGGTGTTGCGTACCTGTTAAATTCGCGCGGTAATGCCTTAACTACCGCGAGGAATCGTGTGCGCGAGTCCGTGATTCCGTGCATGCAAAAACCAGCTTCTGCGTAGCAGAACCAGGACTCGATATTGTCGGGCCAAAATGGCGTTAACTGAATCGAAATAGGGGGAATAGGCTTTAACTTTAAAACCTTATGTTAGTGTTCCGTCATAGTAATATAATGAACGAAAAATGTCTAATCAAAATATATCCGGGAAAAACTCGCGAAAAAAGTATATCACAATATATAAAATTCAAATAAAGAATAACAATGAATAATAATATTCCAAAAAGGAACGGACTGACAGTTTATTGGCTTGGTGTACCAGATCACGTTAGGCTCACCACTGAAGATACGACGGATATTCTAGTTATACAACTAGCAACCAGTAGTACCTTCTATATTCGATCGTTCCCGGTCAAAGGAAATCAGAAGTCAGACGAGAAGAGGTAGGATAGATATATTTGATACGTTACAGTATATCGAGAGGCGTTCGTTATTAGCTAACTATGGAAACGTAGGAGCTGTGTCCCACGCCAAATTGCAACGTGATCTGGTACGGATGCATGACCGAAAGCCTTCAGTTAAACAAGTCCACTTGAGCAACGTGGTCAGCATCCAATGTCGAACACTTAGAAAGCTATTGATTTTGAGGAATTATTTACAGCTACAGGGTTTTTCTGGGCAAAAATACAGTAATGCTTTCTAGTGACTAAGATCTCTCTCCTACATCTCAGTCACGTACCCCAACAAACGAATTGTTCCTTATTTCCGTCCACAAATCTGAAGCTACAACTGAATGAAGTGATGTCTGCACCTTCAGTTGATTTGTTCACAAGAAGAATAGTCATTAGCGGAAACATATTAGAGTCGAGTGAACACAGATATTTTATCATCCTTGGGTAAATCTGAAATTTGAATTCATACAGCGTAACTTCGAAAGAAGCGCTACGTCTACAATAGAACTGTAAGCGCAGGCTGTTGATATATATGTTTCTAGTGTCGATTCCAAGATTGTCCTTGTCTGAAGATTGTGTTATTTCTGTCTGTTGTCGATTAGTTATGTCAATAGGTATGAGTGCATTGTGTACACTTACTGGGTCGTTGACTCACCTCGTGTTCTTCACTTTTCCAGCCTTCGCTTACATAACTCCGCATGCTCCCCTAGTACATAAAGTACTTTCTGGCTAGACAAAGACCGCCGCGTAAGTAGCGGGGTTTTCACTTTTGGATTTAAGCAAGGGTTATTGCATCCAATGACATCCCAGTCTCCAGATTTCGGGGTTTTTGTGTCATTTCCCCAAAGTTTTCTATTGTACCTTCCTCGAAATCGGGAGACTGGGATGTTTCAACTTGCACAAATTGTTCCTTGATAACAGAGTCTTCCTGAGGCGGCTTAATATATACAGTCGTTTATTCTGGACACCTAGGCATCAGGGTTACAATTGGAAGCTCAACATCCGTATATGTTCTGTACGAAAAATAAACTCCCATGTTGCTCTTTTGTGAGTAATACCAAGAACAGTACCAGGAATTCCTGGCACTGTCTTCCAAGTTTCTCAAAGTCTCAGAATAAATCAACATTCGACAATTCTCACAGATATGTATTCCTTGTAACATAGAGCAGATGTTCGATTATTTTTCAGATGAGGAGTTTGTCACCTTTCATTTTATTCTATTTTGATGCCTGACCGTGAAACGTAGCTGTCGGAGGCCAGAAACATTCACATTCTACCGTTGTCCGACCGAATATGATTATTATGATAGTGTCTAGTTGTGATTCAATGGCAGACGAAGTAAAAAGTTTTAGTTTAGATAAGAAGCAAAGACTTAAGGTATCAGAACAGAGTGTAATGCCTATAGTTCCTGTGGTAGGTGTAGAATTACCGAAGGTTGAATTAAGATATTTTGATGAACAATCAAAAGAGTACTGAAAGTTCGTAAGACAGCTTGAGACCTGTCGCATCAAGAGTCAGTAATGACAGTCAACATTCGCTCTACTTGATTCATTGCTGCAAGGACAAGGCAAAGGCAGCCATTTGAAGGTTGTGTCGTGGGTGATTATGCCAATCTTTGTAGCATACAGATATCTTAAAGCTTATTGCCCGTCATAATTTTTACTAATATGGACGAATGTTCCAGATAGTTTGAACCAACATTTCAGTGGGATCGTATCTTATGAATGGTCTTGGAGGAGAAACTCGATCCACCTTCCTTCTTGTTCTTTACCCGATGTATAGTGGCCATGTATTTCTAGGGACTAAGTGGTTTAACATTGTCAGCAAACGTTTTGGACCAGCCTCCACTGAACTTCACCAAGCTTCAGTCATAAAATAAAGATGCATTTTGGTTGTAAATAGACTGGATTTCAGACAGTTTGCAACCCCAGAAATTCTACTGATAGCCGCAAAATTTAACTAGGACTTGTCAGGTGCTCTCTTTTTACGGTGATTGCGCATCCGGCGGTAAGGTCCTTTGAAGAACGGAGTTAACACATCGAAAAACCCCCACAAAAAGGCCTTGCGTGACGGGCCTCAAACAGTTGTCTCTTGGACTCTGCGGTCACGCTCTCAGGTCGTTAAGACCAGCATTAATTTAACTTCATTTTCAGGTTCCTAAAGAAATACCCTTCCACGGTATGGGGAGCCGGGGAGTGATATTAGCTCTCATACCTGTAACAGCACACGAGACGAAGTTGGTCACATTCAAATCCTTCCTACACCCCCGAATATTTATCTTATCTCCACGGCTAACCCTTCTCACGTCCCTTTATCACCTCGCACCGCTAGGGCAAACGATTCGTGTACACGGAACGTTATTCCTGGTCTCCTGAAACCACGCTCTAAACTACATATAGGAACTTTTAACGTCCGAACATTGTCAAATAGGACAACAGGCTTCCTTAGCTAGGACTTTAGAATCTCGCACCATCGATGTGTGCTGTGTCTCCGAAACGCGCATCCAGGATCCGAGTAGCGTCATTCATTTGACCTCACCATGTCAAAATAAAGAACCAACTTGATTCACTCTTCGTGTATCTGAAAGTCCTGATGCTGTTTTCCGTGGCTTTGCTGGCGTAGTTATAACATTGAGTTCTAGGGCAGAACTAGCTCGTTTGGACTGGATCCCAGTAGACAGTCGTTTGTGCGCTGTCCGACTAAACCGAACGATCGTAAAGATGGGGGAAAAGCATAACTGTTTCTCAAAAAAAGATCACAATTTTCTATTTTCGGGCTCGAAATCTGAGGTGAAGCAATTTTGTTCACAACTTTACTGGGACTGTTGATGTCTTAAGCGCAATGTAGAATTCAACTGTTTATTTTCAAAAAATTGCAAGGTAAAATCAAACCAAGGTCTAGGAATTTTTTTCAAACTAAAACTAGGCATCAGCTTACTTGTCGGTTACATGAAGTAAACGAAACCTGAATTAGTTTATACCGGTGACAGAGGTCACTGATCATTTTCCACTTTATTTCCCTGATAACCAGACTCAACAAACATGGTCTGATTTTACTGCTGAGGTTCTCTTGCTACTGACATTTCGACCTTGGTTTGTTACACAGAGGCTAATATAGTCTGTTTCGATACTCATTTTGGGAGGGTCTTTGTTGTTATGTGCTTGAAACAACTGTTTATGTAGGATTTTTGCGGTCCAATTCACTTATCCTAATTTTAGTGGCATCGACACTTTTTCCTTCATTTATACCGTTTTTAGATTAGGAAAAGTCTCTTCATATCAGCCTCGATCTGGAGAGCGAATATTTATTTATTTATTATAAAATATGTAGAGCTATCTGATAAAAGTTATATCTCTTGTAATATTTCATTAGACTAACCATGTATCTCTTCAGTTAGGTCAAAGCTACCTTACCTAGGAAAAAAATTATTCATCAGTTGATATGTAGTTTATTGGCTACTAAGGGATTTTTGATGAGCTCTTACTACTATATAGGTAATTTTTGTGTTAGATTTAATCATTGCATAAATGATCTGGTCCACAACCCCATTAGGTAGTAAGGAGTTAATGTAGCCCAATTTTATACTTTAAAAAGTAATGTTTATCTTGCATGGGGTCACATATTTAAACTGGCGAGTCAAAGACCTAGTAAGATCTCTTCATGTTTGTTTAAGCTCTGTGACTAGTGCAGATTACCTTAGTTTTATCCCAGATTTTATCAAGTGGATTTCCTACTTCTACTTCACAGTCTAGTTATTCAGACGCCATCATGGTTGTCGAATCAGACGATTCTGGTTTTCGCCAACTGGAATACTTCTCTTTAGTTTCAAAAGTATGCACAGAATTAACAAATCACTTGGGTTTAGATGATAAAGTCCTGGGTAAGTTGGTTGTTTGGATTTATTTGATCACATCAACTCTTTCACAGCTGAATTTGTTATTCATTTGGCTAAGAAAAATCCAACGTTTGAAAAATTCAAAAGTGCTTTGGAAAGGAAAGGCGCAGAGTTTACAGTAAGGGCATCTATTAGATTACCTTCAATACTTATGTTTTCTTGTCCACAGGACCCATTAATAGCCAGTATTTTACGTCTAGTTGAGAAAATGCTCCCCAAGAAGGAAAAAGTTATTAAAAAGAAGACACTAACATCTTCATCCAACAAGAAAGATTCAGAGGTAGATGTTGTCAAAAACAAACTAGAATTAAGAAAGCGACTTTTACCTGCGTTGTGTATGCCAAATAAAGATCCAAACGATGAGGTAATCGGTTTTATCACCCTCATTAATGTCTTGTTTATTTTCCATCCAGCGATTAAATTTAGAATCTGAAAATGTAGAACCATGCGGTGATAATGGTAAAAAGGACGGGATTCGTAACAAATTCGTTCATCCTGATGAACTGGAAGAGGAATCCCATAATAATAATGACATCAATGATAAAAATAATTGTGTAGATGATGTTGAAGCTTTGGCTATGATTAAAGACTTAGAATTATTGTTATCCGGTGCTAAAGAGTAAGTTTTCATGTTTATAAAAAATATTTTCTTAGAGCATCCTTATCCAAGTCAAAGCCATGTGACGAAAAGAAAAGTGAAGATAGACGGTTAGTAGTCTCCTTATTTGCTTGTTTGGATCTACTTGTGTTATATTGTCCCATTGATATCTACCATTTTCGTAAACAGTGACCTCAACACATGAATTAGTCAGTCAGTCAGCCTCAACGTAGGACCAGGCACATATATGCATCGGTCCAAATTGCCACACCTCATTAGCACAACAGGATAAACACCAAATTCATAGAAGCAGTTATTTCAATGGTAGTAATATATAAAGGAAATATTGCATATTTATTTATTATTTATCTAAACACATAAACATTGCTGCGAGGAAGCACCAAATAGATATGCCCCACATAAATCATTCGGTTTGTGTGGGGGCTGGAACACTGTCTGGGTGCCCAAATCGAAGCAGGTGCTTTTCTTGGGGGCCACGCCCGGAGCCTTTGACCCAAAGGTTTAATCCGCAAGGCAGTGGAGCAACGTAAGGAGATGCAGTTCCGTAATATCCGGTGGCCAACGATTGGTTCATATGCCATTTGCTTATTCCAGATCATGTAACCCGTGTGCACCATTGGTGTGGAATGATGGTTTTTCAACTTCCGTAGGTGAACTTTCCGTGTCCACCAACCCGGTTAAAGCGCCGAACATTCGCTTTTCATCTTCTCAATTTCGTAAACAACACCCCCGCCACGAGAAGGCAGTGAGTAGGATTTTCCTGGAAGGGGGCTATATACGCGTGGCCATGTGAGAGCATTTTGAGTGGGAGAGCTGACTCTCCCCACTCTCGGCCGTACAAGGGCATTTGGGGGCTTTATCAAACTCGAATGGAACCTAGGATGTAGTCAGCGACTAGAATTAAGAGATTTGCTTCACTAGATTATTTTAACAGGCTTTTCTTTGCTTTTGAAGGAAAAGTACTTGTTGCCAAGATGGCTAGGGTTTGTGAGGGTATTTAACATACTTATTTTTCCGAGATTTATTTCTAGAGGATGCATCATAGAAAATTATTTCAAGAGGCCACTGAAGTTAGTAACTAGTTCTGTTCAATTTTAGTTGAAGCGATCAAACTTTCACTTCCTGCTTCATGGCTATACTTTACATATAAATCTTTTAATCAGTCACTGTACATAAAAAAGTATAGTTCAAATCTTAACCTGTACTTCTCTTTATAATAATAGTGCTCGTCGTTCACATTCTAAATCTCCTCATCGTTCACGACATTCAAACAGAAGAGCTCACCAAAGAAATCCTGATGCATCTAGTGATTATCGTGGTCATCGTAAAAAGTCCAGGTGAACTAGTTCTCTGGTATTTATAGTTTTACTATGCCCTTTTATGTATTTGATTTCCGATGAGCTTTAAAGCTGATCTTATCAGTCTTATGCATTTTCCCGTTTAATAAAACTTTGGTTTATTATTACTATTGTTATTTTTCATCATCCGGTAAATATTACGTATTATGATTTCAGATTATTAGACAGGTTTTTCAGTAAACGTTATTCCCATTTTCTTACACTATAATCAGAATATGGCAACTACTGGTTGAATTATTTTCACCATGATTTTCAACCATAACTATTTAATTGCACGACTGAAAAAATCCATCATTGAAGTAACTGCATACTGTGGATATTTGAGATGTTTAGCTTACATATTGTCTCCACTTTTCTAAAGTTTTTAACCGACAGTGAAACTCGTTCACTATCGTAAACTTTTTCACTCATGTTTTGGGTATTTGATGTATGAGTTTAACTATCACTGTTATTTTTTACAAAATACCAATTATGAGGACATTTATATGAAATTGGTGATTAAGACATTTTGACGCAATTTCGCAGGATCAGCTGACTAGTCCCAGAGTCTTATTGTTGCCATTCTTAGGATTTATACTTCTCATCTGGTTTCTCTGTTTTAATAACTACTGACTCATGGAAGGTGATTTGTCTTATCGATAAACTATGGACCCTTGGTAAGTTTGTCAAATTGATGAGGTCCTAAAGTCTTTATTTTTAATCTTATTTGAAGAATAGTGGGATTTTAGGTTTTAACAATGTGATTTCTGTAAAGAAATGCTCAACTATTCTGTTTAAACTAATATCTTTTCATAAAATCAATGTGACTGTTTTCCTTGAATTGGGAGTAAATGAAATAAAAAACATCTTATCCGTCACTTATTCTGTATATTTCTTTGCTTTAACGTAATTTCTATTCATTGTCAAACCCACTTGAATTTTGCTTGGAAATGGAAGTATAATCACTTATATTTTAATTTGTAAATACTAGATCACCTCATGGAAAAGAATCCAGATCCCCATCGCCCCACTCCTCCAGACATCGATCTAAGGATTGTTCTCCAGCTAGCAAATCGTCTTATCATAGAGACCGATCACGAACTGATCGTACTTCACCTAAAAGGTATTCCCGTGGTTCAAATAGTCCAAATTATGAAAATAAACGACTCAAAGATCTTCCTTCAGAACCTGTTGTGGGCGATATCTATCGTGGTAGAGTTACAAATGTGCTAGCATTCGGAGCTGTTGTTCAGTTAGATGGACTTCGTAGGAGATGGGAAGGTCTGGTGCATATTTCTCAGCTACGTCAAGAAGGCCGTGTAGCTAGTGTTGGCGATGTTGTTAGTCGTAATCAAAAGGTAACTTATACATTTTTCGGCTTAACAGTTAGTACTCCCTTGACTCTGTTTAAAAACTATGGTATTAATAATAATAATAATAATAATAATAATAATAATGACAAAATCAACAATATTATTTGTTTCGAGATATTTTTAACCATGAACTGAGATTTATTCCGAAATCATGAGCGAACAAAGAGCAGTGGGATGTCGCATAGGATGCTCTTATAACGCCATTCATAATCAGACCTAAGATCTTTTGTTTGATTTTAATAGCCATGGCAGTGTAAAGGCCTGTTACCGTTGGAAGAATTTTTGACTATATCACGTGCTGGCAATGCTTTTTTCAGGCGGTAACTATCACACTGCTCAAGTTGACTCGACGTTCTAGCGATCATTTTTCAGGGATAATATCCAAATATGTGACTAATATGTTTATATACCAAACTATGAAGCACATTTAATGTTTACGAATTGTCGATAGTGTTTCGCTAAAGCGTTATTTGATTAGCTAACCTTGCAGATAAAAGTCAAGTCCTTAGACCACTGGGTCACAGTCTTCTCAAATTATTTATTTATTTGGTCACAATCTCTGATTGTCCCAATATATAAGAAGGGATCCAAATCAGCCTGTTATAACCATAGAGGGATTAGTCTGACTAACATAGCATCTAAAATACCAGCCTCAACAATTATCGGGCGCCTACCTAATACTTGTGAACTGCAAACACGAGAAAATCAGGCTGGCTTCAGACCTGGTCGTGGCTGTATCGACCACATATTCACCATTCGTCAAGTTTTAGAGCACAGACATGCTTATCGGCGTCCGACAATGATAGTTTTTTTTGACTTAAAAGCAGCATTTGACTCTGTAAACCGAGAGGTTCTGTGGCAGTGTCTGTCATTGAAAGGTGTACCTGAGAAGTACATAAACCTTGTGAAGGTTCTTTACTCGAACACTATCAGTCGAGTGAGAGCTTATGGCGAACTGTCATCTGATTTTACAACCTCAAATGGTGTCCGTCAAGGCTGTCCACTATCCCCATTTTTGTTTAACTTCATTATAGACCTGTTGCTGGAAACAACACTCTCATCGACTGAATTTTCAGGAATTGATCTTCTACCAGGAGGTTCACTTATCGACTTAGAATACGCAGATGACATAGTCCTGTTTGGTGAAGACACTGACAAAATGCAGAGTCTTCTGTTGGAACTCAGTAATAATGCCAGGATGTTTGGGATGCGTTTCTCCCCATCCAAATGTAAATTGTTACTCCAGGACTGGCCTGCATCAACACCTGAACTAAGGTTAGGGAGTGAAGTAGTCGAACGCGTGAACAACTTCACTTATCTTGGAAGTCTGATCAGTCCTAATGGATTGGTGTCTGACGAAATCTCAGCACGGATTCAGAAAGCTCGTTTGGCTTTTGTCAACTTACGTCACCTATGGCGAAGACGAGATATCCGTCTATCAATTAAGGGACGAGTATACTGCGCAGCAGTTCGCTCTGTTCTACTTTACGGCTGCGAAACATGGCCATTAAGAGTAGAAGATACTCGTAGGTTACTAGTATTTGACCACAGATGCCTTAGAAATATTGCTCTCATCTGCTGGGATAACCGGGTAAGTAATAGTGAGGTTAGATGCAGGGTATTAGGAGATGATGGTAAATCAGTTGGTGAGGTCATGAATCTTCATCGACTGAGATGGTTAGGCCACGTGTTACGTATGCCTGAACATCGATTACCACGACGCGGAATGTTGTCTAGTGTAGGGGTTGGTTGGAAGAGAGTCAGGGGCTGCCAAACCAAAACATGGCATCAGTGCTTGAAGTCACTAACTTCTAGTCTGAGACATGTTGGTAGATGCAGACTACCTGGTTGGGGTCCGCGTGACTATCGTAACCAATGGTTGGAGACTGTGGGTGACATGGCTGAGAATCGACCACAATGGCGTGGGTGTATACACTCTTTATCTTCCCTTGAACCTTGAGATTAAAATTGCTTCATAACTTTTTTCCTTCCTATACTATATCCTTATATACAACCTTTCTTTATATACTACCACCAATAAATTAACTACTTCTATGAATTCAGTGTTCATCTTGTTGTGCTAACGAGATATGGGAACTTGAACCAATGCATATATGTGCCTGGTCCTACGTTGTCGCTGACTGACTGACTGACAAATTATTTAGTGCTAAACTCAGTACTAATTAAAGGCTTATATTACAGACTGTTTCAACGTTTTCCGTCATAACACTTTGTCAAAGACCATCATAGTGATTTGTCGTATGTCTTTTGCATGCACATATGTACCTGGTCCTACGTTGTAGCTGACTGACTGGCTGACTTTTACATGTATAATAACCTTCTCACCTGACGACATGCTTTACGTTCACTGAGTGTTATATGTCCAATATTGTTCTCATTGTTCTTGTCGCAAAAAGAATACGAATTTATTCTGTATTTTAATCAAAAATGTCTTTTTTGAAGGTCTGGGTAAAAGTTATCTCGTTCACTGGTACTCGAACTGGTCTTAGTATGCGTGAGGTGGACCAAGAGACTGGCACCGATTTGAATCCTTCACGCTTACCTGAGAAGAAGTTCAATAATTCTAGTGAATTGTTAGATAAAGATAAAATACGTCTCGTAGATGAAGAGGATATCGATGGTGTTCGGAATCCTGATCGTCCTGCAGCTAACTCTGGACCAGGATTTTTCGGTAGACGTAAAGAAATGGGATTTGAGGAAGACATTGAATCTGGTCCAAAACGGTATGCTTGATACTTTTCTTCTATTAGCGAATGTTACTTTTGTTATTGTTAATAAGTTTAACAGTTTTAGTTTGGACTAAACTACTTATACAGTGTACTTACTATTCTTTTATTCTCAGTAACTATTATAATACGGTGATAATGTGTACATTTATATGTTTTTTAGGAAGGTTCAACGAATCAGTAGTCCGGAACGCTGGGAATTAAAACAAATGATGTCAGCTGGTGTGATTGAAAAGACAGAATTACCTGATTTCGATGAAGAGACTGGACTTTTACCACGCGAAGATGAAGAATCTGACGAAGATATTGAAATTGAACTTGTTGAAGATGAACCACCATTTCTTAAGGTTTGTGTACAATCCAATAAACTCTTTTTTAATTATTATAACTAACTGATTGGATTATAATCAACGGTTGTGATTTTTTAGTTTATCAAACTTATTTTTCAACAGGAAGCAACAAAAATATATTTTTATTTAAGTGAAATTTAACTGGATACGATATGAGAATAAAAGATGATTAGTTGTTGGGTGTGAAAATTTATAGAATTTGCTATATCCATGGCAACTGGCACCAAAAATTATTTTTTTCCCATCTGAAGGACAGAAACTAGGTGGCTTACAGTCCCTCTCACACACTGCTTTAGATAATCAACAATTGACTTTACAGTCTTGATTTCTGGTGTAACTTAGTTACCTCGTACATATTTGTATGTCTCTCCTCAATTTACATTTTATATGTAAACGTAAGTAATACAACATGGTTACCCAAACCTAAATAGACGGAGTAGGGTTCGAATCTTCAGCCCGGTAGCTAATCCCCATACAATTCTTGAGAATCTTTAATATATATGATATAAACACATCATACCGATATTTCCAAGGATCAGATGAAAATGATGTTCACTACTCTATGATGCTTTATGGTTATGAACACTTAATAAAAGTTATTCTCAAAAAGCTTACTTTTATAGTAAAATAAAATAAAATGTTTCTACAACAGACATATTATTACCATTAGTATTGTTGTCGGTCGACATAGATATATGTAATTAGTTGATTCATATCTAAGTAGTTTTTAGATTTCAGTTTGATATTATGTTTATTAATTTTATATTAATTATACTTTCCAGGGTCATGGTCGACATGCAATGGATTTGTCTCCAGTTAGAATAGTCAAGAATCCAGACGGATCATTACAACAAGCTGCTATGATGAGACAGGCTCTACAAAAAGAAAGACGTGAAATGAAACAACAAGAAAGGCAAAACCAAGTAACAGCTGAACGGGAGACTGCTCCTGAACGAATGGGTAAAGATTGGCATGATCCAATGGGGTTTACATGTAAGTAATTTTTTTAAGGATGTAATTAGTTCTTTAATGAATTTGATGTAGCTCAGTGTTGTTTGAAATACGGCAGATGGTCTTACTCCTTGTCTACCATTAGATCTTTATTTTCGGATTTATTACGTGCCTTTTACCTCTGCAGTTATTTTTCGAACCATCTATACATCTAATCTTATTTTACTACCACTGATACTTCTACTAGTTACTTTATTAATTTTGTGTTCATCGTTGTAAAATCATATAACTGTGGTAATGTAAGGTGACAATTAGAAGCGATGCACATATATTCTAAGTTCTACATTAGTAACTGAATGTATTTGTCATAAACTTGAAAACCACCAAACATATAGGAGCACTGGATATCGGTTCTGTTCTAGTTCGAGACTCTTCATTAATGCGTCCGCATGACCCAAAATGAAATGAAACCGCAGAACAGGAACTAGCGGTTTTATAACTAGCACAATGCTAGTTAGTCATTGTTCTTCTTCATGTTACTCTGAGTAAAGTAGCTGAATCAATAGATTTGTAGATACACACGAGAATGCACTTACAGAAGTAAAAGGGTGGAGGAACTATTAGTGAGGTAGTAGCCAATTTAGTTACTCTTCTGAACAACAGAAAATCCATCAGTATTAAGTCAGTCATCTGTAGTGGAAATTATATTTCGTTGGAAATTTAAAATTGTCCTTGATATGACCAAACTTAAGCAAATAGATAACGAAAAATGAAATACAAAAACCAGTTTACCTATCATTGATGACAAAACCTTACATATTCTGAACCTACCAGAAAATCTGCATTTGTGATTTTCGTTATTTTCCAATATGGACAGGTGAGCGAATACTAGAACTTCAAGGAAATGTTTTGTATGTGATAGAAGTAAATCCTTTGTAAACAATGCATAGGAGATCGATTAGTTAATGTCCGAAATTCTTCTGGATAGTTTTGATGTGGATATGAAAAACATTTATTTATTTGAACACATAAATATTGGTACTAAGGGGGCACCTAATACATGTGCGCCACACAAATCAAATGGTTTGTGTTAGGGATGGAATACTTCCTGGGCTCTTAAACCGGTGCAGCTGGTTTTTTTAGGCAACCACTCCTTGCGCCTTTGATCTACAGGTCTAATCCACAAGACAATGGAGCAACGTAAGGAGATGCAGTCCCATGGTAGCAGGCGACTAACGACTGGTTCATACGCCATTTGTTTACTCAGGATCCTGGAACCCATGTGCACCATTGGTTTGGAATCAGGGTTTTCCAACTCCCCTAGGTGGATCTTTATAAAAATATCAGGAAGATGTAGATTTTTTATATCGACTCTAGAAAAAAACTATACGACTTTGTCAGGACAGGAGAACGATAAGATGTAGCTAAATTAAAGATCAACATTCTAGGTTTTGGTTCAATTAGTAGAAATTTATCTACTTCCGAGTTTGATTCTTTCCGCTACTATTTTCGAATAATTTTATCGGAAAATTTATTGTCTTTGGGGTTTAAGTTGTTTAAAGATGTATCATAAGAGTTAATTGTTTATCAAATGAAACAATATTCGTGGTAACAATTCTGGTGTTATCTCTTGATATTACTATTGCTCAGTAAGGCGAAAGGTACTCGAAGAAGCAGTCGTCTTTGTTGTTGGTTTATGTTCCATCACTGCATGACATACTTACGCCTGTTACCCCTAATAGAGCATAGGCCGCCGACCGGCATTCTCCAACCCACTTTGTCCTAGGCCTTCCTTTCTAGTCCTACCCAGTTGTTGTTCATTCTTCTCATATCTGTTTCCATTTCTCGGCGTAATATGTTCTTTGGTCTTCCTCTTCTCCTTTGGCTTCAAGGACTTGCCTTGTGACACAGTTGGGTGGTTTCCTCAATGTGTGTCCTATCCACTTCCAGCGCTTCCTGATTTCTTCCTCTGCTGGATGGAATCTGATTTGTTCTCTCCCACAGTAGGTTGTTGTTGATAGTGTCTGGCCAACGGATCCGAAGTATTTTGCGTAGATAACTGCTAATAAACACTTGTATCTTCTGGATGATGGCTTTCGTAGTTCTCCAGGTTACCTCCCCATACAGTAGAACTGTTTTGACATTTGTATTGAAAATTCTGACTTTGGTGTTGGTTGACAGTGCATGACATGCTTATTATAAAATTATTTCACGCGGTCATATTAATTTTCTAATTAAGGTATGAATAGTTTTTCCTCGATTTCATCGGAGTATAAATTATAATCAATTATATTTGACGAATTCTGATTTTACGAGATTCATATTAATACTTGTTATTAGTCAAGTACAAACACCATTTTGATAACATACTTGCGACATTTTTTTCTTATCATATTACTCTATGTATCTAATATATTTCAGTGGACAATGAACCACAGTTTTCAGGTTCACGTTCGGCTGACCAGTTTAAAGATGTACCGGAATGGAAACGTGCTGTTCAAGGGGGTACAAGAACTGGAGCTGTTGGTAAAAAGATAGTACGCTCTATTCTTGAACAGCGTCAAGCTTTACCCATATTTAGACTAAAAGATGAATTAATGAAGGTTAGTTTCCCAAGTTTTAATACCATTTTGTCGATCGGATTAAACAGGTGCTCAATCTTATTTGTTAGCTGTTAAATGTTAAATGTTGTGTAAGTAAATTGTCCTAAGTTTCTTCAATGCTTGACAAGATATGACAAGTGAATGTAATTTAGTTCAGAAAAGACCAAATAAATGTGTAGGAGTGTAGGTAGTGCGTAGAGATAGTAGAGTTTTATACTTCACATTCACAAACCCCTCATATAACAATGATAATTATTTGCTTATTAGTGACTAATTTTGAGCGATTTCAGGAGCTTTAGTGAGAAACTGTAACCAGTGGAGTTCATCCGCCAATGACATTAGAGTGTGGTTTTGGAATATTACGAACCGATTGAAGCTAGAAAGGTAACGAATCGGACGCCGACTTAGTAATCCAAAGGTTAGGTACTCATCGTGAAACCTAAAAGCCCTGGATTCTATCCATGATAGAGGTCGCGAACATGCACTGCGGAGGATTCCTATACTAAGACAAAACAGCTATCCAGTGCTTTACGGTTTACAGTAAGTATCTAAGGTCAATCCGTGATTTAAAATACAGAATGTGCCATATTGAACCAGAAAGTTTGTGGGTGTCAGTGTGATTGGTGGGGATGAAATTATTTAAACCTTATGGCATTCTCAAGGCCATAAAAATTTGATGTTGATCTCGAAACTGTTCGCTAAATGCTTATTATAAGTTTTATTATTATTTTCTTTCTATAAAAAATAAATAAATTTATGAGTGATACGAAATTAGTCGTTTTCCGTTCGCATATTTTTACAAACACTTGCAGTTACAAATTCAGCAAACTTTAATGCATATTCGGTTGTGACTGTCGAAAATAATTCTCAAATTCATATTCAAGTCATATGCTAAATTATGGTAGCATAAAATGAACTTTACTTTCATTCTCACATCTCCGTAATTGTAACTAATCTCATTCAAGCGAATGGTCAATAAATAATATAGTGGTAATCAATATTTTTCGTGACTTACTTGGAGAATACATTGTTCTTTCATAAGTTTTAGTTGAGAAACTGTAGTTTGTTCAATCTTTCAGATGAACAAAAAATGCCTAAATGCATAGTTGTTTACTAGTATTATTATTGCCAATGGTGAAAATCATATATCATAGTTTGATTATAGGTGCAAATTTCCACTTTTTCGGCCTTTGACTGAGCCAATAGCTGAAGTAATGTGTGTATTGTATACTACCTATGCAGCTTTATTCATCTCATTGAGTAATTTCTTTTCCACGTTCAGGATAAAATGGGGGCTAGTCATCTGTTCAATACCTCGAGTTTAAGTATTTTCCTCTAGTAACATTAATTATGGCTTATTAAACAACTGTGAAGCGATATTTCATTTTTACTGAATAATTAATACTGAACTTATGTGGTTTTGTCCCTAGACTGCTTCTTTAATTTCTATGTTACATACTCATATCGTTTACATAAAATCAATGATGTGACGTTTTTCTTTTAATTAATACAGGCAGTGAATGATAATAAAGTATTGATTGTTATTGGAGAAACTGGTAGTGGGAAGACTACACAAATAACACAATATTTAGCTGAAGCAGGTTATGTTAACACTGGCCGCATTGGATGCACTCAACCACGTCGAGTTGCAGCTATGTCTGTAGCTAAACGAGTACGTTTTTCAATTTCTTGTTTATTTAGTATGATTTGCTTTAAAGTTTGTTTGTAAGTTCTAACCATACTGTACTTAATCCAACATAGGCAGCTGGTAATATCATTAGAGCTTAAACATAAAAAAATGTGACTAAAAACCTATCACATAGATTTATATTTGGTTAGCAACTTGTATTTATATTATTCAACACAGATTTACTCGCTATAAATTTTGATGTATAACGTACTGAGTTATATGGTCTGGTTAAAATTCAATGTTCAGATTTAGTAAGAATCTTTGTCTTAATGATAAAGAATCGAGCTTTTGGACGTCAGTTCATAAGGTACCTTACAATCATTTAAACAATAATAGTATCCCAATATTACTGATTAAAATCGGATTATAAAACAAACATTGTGAAAGTTCGGCACAAGATGTTCAGCATATAATTTTAGTCTAGTTGTAAACTTTTATTAATTAAAATTATTATGATTTGTCTTTGTATCTTTAATTATTGTTTACATCAATGTCCAATGTTACTGATTTCATAGTCGGCTTTAACAGTTGTCTCTAGTATTTGGAAGAAGAAATAGCGTAAAAACAAAATCTTTTGTTCGGCAAATTAATTTTCGTAGAGATGTTTAAGAAAATTCAAATCAATAACTTGAAATGTTGGTCGACAGTGCTCTCACTGTCGATTTTTCTTCATAACATTTTTATCATAACATATCATTTCAGATTATTGGTTTTCGTCTTTCTAAAGTTTCCGTTTTTATCATCGATATTTGTTTACAACATGATTTCATTACTTTGTAGGTGCTCGAATCGGATGATACATTTTTATTTTATGTTACTTTACTTTTCTTTACCCTACTCTCCTCTCATCTACTCTACCTTGCTCTACTTATTCTATAGTTACATGAAACAAACTTTTATATATGTATTATTTTGCAGAAAAGGATTGATTTATTCAATTGTCTTTGTTCGTCCGCTATATTTTACACAACATTTACTCTTTTCTATTTTTCTAGGTATCTGAAGAATTTGGTTGTCGTCTAGGGCAAGAAGTTGGTTATACAATACGTTTTGAAGATTGTACTGCACCAGAGACAAAAATCAAATACATGACAGATGGTATGCTATTACGTGAATGCCTTATTGATCCGGACTTACGCCAATATTCAGTAATTATGTTGGATGAAGCACATGAAAGAACAATACATACAGATGTATTATTTGGTTTATTGAAAAAGGCTATTCAAAAACGAGATGATATGAAGTTGATTGTCACTTCAGCTACTCTTGATTCAGTCAAATTTTCTCAGTACTTTTTTGAAGCTGTAAGTGTTAAAACACTGTAAATTCTATATTGATTCAAACCATTTTTTAAAGACACTAATCTATGACAATGTATGCATGGATAACTAATGAGAGATTGAAAGTGATAACGCAATCTCATGTCATTTATATGATGAGTGATTGCCTAAACGCAGTTATTATTACGTGTGAGTGACTCTAATACCCGCTTGATTCCTTGATAAAACTGTTGTTATATATCAAAGGTAATTTTGAAAGCAATACATCATTCAGTGAAATAATAGCATTCACAAGTGCTGAATCAAACGACGTTGTTAATGTTGTAAGTATTTGCTTATGTTGGCTAAAAAATAATCATTGCCTGCACAAACCAAATACATTTTCATATACTCATCTATGCATATTATATGAAGAATAGCAATAATATTAACTGGTTAGTTAAATTTTAGTAAGTAGAAAGATTCTAATTCGTAGGTTGACAGTTAAGTTATATTTATTTATTTATTTAAACACATACATATTGGTACAAAGGGGCAACAGATACATATTGTGTGAGGGCTGTGATACTACCCGGGTGCCCAAACCGAAGAAGGTGGTTTTTTTAGGGGGCCACACCCCGAGCCTTTGACCTAAAGGTCTAACCCACAAGTCAGTGGAGCATCGTAAGCAGATGCAGTCCCATGGTAGCCAGTGACCAACAATTGGTTCATACGTCATATGTTTATCCAGGATCCTGGAACTTATGTGCACCATTGGTGAGTAGGACTTCCCTGGCAGAGGCTATATACGTGTGGCCATGTGAGAGCATTTGGAGAGGGAGAGCGGACTCTCCCCACTCTCGACCGTACCAGGGCATTTGGGGGCAGTTAAGTTATAAATATTCTCAATATTTAAATTACTATAGTTTTTCATGTTGCTGAAGATTGCTGATTGACTTATTGATTGTTATTATTTATTACAATGTTCCTTTGTTTTCTTTCTCTATTAAATTATTTATTTAGCCTATATTTACTATACCTGGTCGTACATATCCTGTTGAAATATTGTATAGTTTAGAGCCGGAAAATGATTATCTAGACGCTGCACTCAATACAGTTATGCAAATTCATTTAACTGAACCTCCAGGTATTTTATCTTTTTACTTTGTACAAAGAAGTATAATATATACATGTATGTACCCGTTTAATTCAGTTGACTCAATAGATTCATTGACATTTAATATTGCATGAAACCATTCAAATATTATTGTTGAAACCTTAAATTATTTCTTTGTTACAGCCTACTGTTAACTGAAGTTTATTTCCATGAGGAATTTATGTCTTTTTTCTTTTTGCTTGTATAATTGAAAACAGTTTTTGAACAGGCGTTTATTTTCTGTATTGAATTCATACATTTAGTATTACTTAATGTAGAAAATAATCGTGAACTATTTGAATATGTTGTAGCATTTCAAACCCTATTATTTATCAGCTTGATTAGCTGTAATTTTTACTTTTTTTAACTACTAGTCAATTGCAAGTAGTTTGTTAACTTGTATTGAAAATAATAATGATAATACTTTTCAAATGTCAGTCTCCGATTATCGACAATACTGGAATTCTGGAATACATGCTGATCAAGTGTATAATTAGATTTTTAAAAGTAGTTTAAATTTTGTACGGCTTTTTAAAGGTACAACAAATATTTATATCGGAATCGATCAACAATGTAATATTAAACTTAAAATATGGAGCAGTAGTAGTAGTCACCTTAGTCTATGTGACTGAAAACTGAGTTACTGTTTATAAACTGATTCTTATGATAGAAAAATGTCAAATTAATTTTGATCTAGTTTTGAGTTTTATTGTGTCTATTCATGCGAGTACCTTTTTGTTGAATCTAGTTTCTGTTTAAGTATTGTTTCACATTGAAAATGAGATTTTCGGTTATAAGGAATTCGTTGAATATAAAAAAGTGCTCAAATGATCTCAACACATCACTTTGTTCTGAATCTAACTTTTTATGTCTAAACTTCCATGTATGTTAGCTTATTGCAGTTAACTAGTGATTGATGTTACAAACACATTGGTATCTTGCCTACTCTAATAGTAGAATTATTATATATTAATCAAGTCAGTGAACCATTGTTTATCCGTCTAAATATCGTCACTTGATTCGTTAAGTAACATTTCAAAAGTGTTTATTCGGTCCATTTATTCAATTCAACATCTTATTCCAAAATTGTCTCATCCTATTATGACTGTTGTCAATATATTCACCAAAATTCCTTTAAGATGATAGTCTGACTTCATGTAGTGATGATGATGTGTATCAGAAATCAGTTAACCTTAGAATCTCATTGAATAATACCTTTCATATGATAATACACCTATGAATCATAATTTTTACCATTATTCAGTTATTGTTATTGTTGTACATAATAATCATTTTAAAAATACTCTATTACATATATCATGTTCATTTTATGTTAGTTAATTTAAATCTATAATTATCGTCATTTTTTCAAATTTGATTTTTAAAGGAGATATTTTAGTATTTTTAACTGGTCAAGAAGAAATCGACTCTGGTTGTGAACTTCTTTATGAACGTATGAAAGCTTTAGGTTCTGAAGTACCTGAATTAATCATTTTACCAGTTTATGCCGCTTTACCATCTGAAATGCAATCGAGAATTTTTGATCCTGCACCTCCAGGCTCTCGTAAAGTAGTGATTGCTACAAATATTGCTGAAACATCTCTAACAATTGATGGAATTTATTATGTTATTGATCCAGGTTTTGTAAAACAAAAAGTGTACAGTAGTAAATCCGGTATGGATCAACTTATTGTCACACCAATTTCACAGGTCAGTTTAAGTTATTACAATTAATAAATTTGTTTTTGATTGAGGTCATAAATCGATAGATGTTAGACCACCATTAAAAACCTGGAAGCACTGGATAGCCGTTTCGTCCTAGCATGGGACTCCTCAACAGTGCACACCCACGATCCGACACTGGGGATCCGAACCCAGGACCTTCGATCTTGAGCGCGAACACTTAACCTCTAGACCACTGAGTCGGCATCCAACAGTGTTATGTACAACTTCAACCAATCCACAATATTGCGCGACCATCTTCCATTGTCTGGGGTAGATATCTGTTTCTGCCCGACTCGGATTAGCTCCGCTGGTTACAGCTTCTCATTAGAAACTCCGAGAATTCTCTCATGAAGCTAGTCACTAGTGAGCACATCGATCAACTTAGGGTCTCAATCAAAAACTTAACAATCTCCACAACCATAAAATGAAAATAAATTTGTGTATAAAATTTTTTCGTTATTCAAACTTTTTCTAGAAGTTCTATAAAAGTACCTAATCGATTGTTATAAGGTTTATGGTGTAAATTGGTTTTTTGAAATTAAAAAAAAATAATACTCTGTGTTCCGAACATGTTGACCAGGAGCTACTCATCATTTAGCAAAACCAACAATTTATTCAGTTTACTGCACACATGTAGATTCGTACTATTGCAGAAAAAATAGATCAACAAGGTGAATAGAGCTTTCGGAGTTGAACTGAAAGAAGCAAATATGCACTAAAGAACATCAAGGTGTCTTTTTTTCTACTTACTTACTTACTTACTTTCGCCTGTTACTCCCAATGGAGCATAGGCCGCCGACCAGCTTTCTCCAACCCACTCTGTCCTGGGCCTTCTTTTCTAGTTCTTTCCAGTTCTTGTTCATTCTTCTCATGTCTGTCTCTATTTCTCGGCGTAATGTGTTCTTTGGTCTTCCTCTTCTCCTTCGACCTTCAGGATTCCATGTGAGGGCTTGTCTTGTGACACAATTGGGTGATTTCCTCAAAGTGTGCCCAATCCACTTCCAGCGCTTCTTCCTGATTTCTTCCTCCGCTGGAATCTGGTTTGTTGTCTCCCACAGTAACTTGTTGCAGATAGTGTCTGGCCATCGGATCCGAAGTATCTTGCGTAGACAGCTGTTAATAAACACTTGCATCTTCTGGATAATGGCTTTCGTAGTTCTCCACGTCTCTGCCCCATACAGAAGAACTGTCTTGACATTTGTATTGAAAATTCTAACCTTGGTGTTGGTTGACAATTGTTTTGAGCTCCAGATGTTTTTCAGCTGTAGGTATGCTGCTCTTGCTTTGCCGATCCGCGCCCTCACATCTGCATCTGATCCACCGTGTTCATCAATGATGCTGCCCAGATATGTAAAGATTTCCACATCCTCCAAAGCTTCTCCGTCAAGTGTAATTGGATTGGTGCATATTGTATTGTATCGGAGAGTCTTGCTTTTCCCTTTGTTTATATTGAGACCTACTGCTGCTGAGGCTGCTGCTACACTGGTCGTTTTCTCCTGCATTTGTTGTTGCGTTTGTGATAGAAGAGCCAGATCATCCGCGAAGTCTAAATCGTCAAGCTGCATCCTGCCTGTCCACTGTATCCCGTGCATTCCTCCAGATGTTGACGTCTTCATAATCCAGTCGATGACCAGGAGAAAGAGAAAGGGTGAGAGTAGGCAACCTTGCCTAACACCGGTCTTTACTTGAAACGAGTCGGTGAGTTGTCCTCCGTGGACGATTTGGCAGTTTAGTCCATCATAGGAGTTCCGTATGATGTTGACTATCTTCTCAGGCACGCCGTAGTGTCGAAGAAGCTTCCATAGTGCCGTCCTGTCCACGCTATCAAATGCCTTCTCGTAGTCGATGAAGTTGATGTAGAGTGATGAATTTCATTCGATTGATTGTTCCACAATGATACGTAGAGTTGCGATTTGATCTGTGCACGATCTATCCTTACGAAATCCAGCTTGTTGATCTCGAAGTTGAGCGTCCACGGAATCCTTCATCCTGTTTAACAATACTCTGTTGAAGACTGTTCCTGGTATTGAGAGAAGAGTGATGCCCCTGTAGTTGTTGCACTTGCTCAGATCGCCTTTCTTTGGTATTTTGATGAGAAGTCCTTCTTTCCAGTCTGTTGGTACATGTTCTTCGTCCCAAATCTTACCAAAGAGGATGTGGAGTATCTTGGCAGTTGCTGTTACATTTGCTTTCAGTGCCCCTGCCGGGATGTTGTCTGGTCCCGCTGCTTTGCCACTCTTGATTTGTCTAATGTCTAATGGCCATGCTGATCTCTTCAATTGTTGGTGGGCCAATATCGATTGGGAGGTCTGTGGGTGCTGCTTCGATGTTGGGTGGGTTCAGTGGAGCTGGTCGATTCAAGAGTTCTTTGAAGTGTTCTACCCACCTGTTTCGTTGTTCTTCAATGTCGGTGATTACTTTGCCTTCCTTGTTTTTCACTGGTCTTTCTGGTTGACGGTAATTTCCAGCAAGTTTCTTTGTTGTATCATACAGTTGTCTCATGTCTCCCTCTCTTGCAGCCTTTTCCGCTGTCATCGCTAAATCTTCCACATATTTACGTTTGTCGGTCCTGATGCTCCTCTTCACTTGCTTGTTTGCCTCTGTGTATTCGGCTTGTGCCTTGGCTTTTTCCGCTCTTGTTCGGCTGATATTGATTGCTGCCTTCTTGTTCCTTCTTTCTTCAATTTTATCCAGTGTACCAACAGTGATCCATTCCTTGTGATGGTGCTTCTTTTGGCCCAGAACCTCCTGACATGTTGAAACGATTGCCTCCTTGATACCTTTCCAGCTGCTCTTTATGGTGGTTCCCTCTCCATTGAGTAGGTCATGAAAGGCCTCGAACCTGTTGCTGAGGGCTATGTTAAATTCGTTGAGTTTGTCAGCATCTCGAAGAAAGGCCGTGTTAAACTTTTGTGATGTTGTGCGCGCCATCGTCCAGTGCTTCTTGAGTTTTAGTTTCATCTTGGCGACCAGCAAATGGTGATCGGATGCTATATCAGCTCCTCTTCTGGTTCTCACATCCTCCATCGTCCTCCTGAACTTTTTGTTGATGCAGACATGGTCGATTTGATTTTGTGTAGTGTGATCCGGTGAAATCCAAGTGTCTTTGTGTATGTTTTTGTGTGGGAATATGGTGCCACCTATGACCAGTTTATTGAAGGCACCATTTTCGTTCCTTCTTCCCAGTCCATGTTGTCCCATGACGTCTTCGTATCCAGTGTTGTCCATTCCAACCTTAGCATTGAGATCTCCCATCAGAATTGTCAGGTCCTTGGTTGGGCACTTCTCGAAGATTGACTGCAGCCTATCGTAGAATTGGTTTTTAGCGTCTTCATCGTAGTCGTTGGTCGGCGCATAGCATTGGATGATGTTCATTGTAATGCCCTCTCTCTTTGTTTTGAAGGAGGCTTTGATGATCCTCGGTCCATGAGATTCCCATCCTATAAGTGCATTTTGTGCTTTTCTAGACAGCATCAGTGCCACTCCTTGTGTATGTGGGGCATTTTCTTCTTCATGACCGGAGTATAACAGAAGTTCCCCTGAAGACAGTCGTTGTTGTCCAACCTGCGTCCAATGTGTTTCACTGATTCCAAGCACTTCCAGGTTGTATTTCCTCATTTCCGCAGAAATTTGGAAGACTCTGCCGGTCTCCCACATTGTCCGGACATTCCATGTACCTATAAAAATTGTCGCTCTGGTTGTAAGAAGGTGCATCGGCCTCATGACTTCCGAAGGAACTCGACTTTTATCATGAGACGTCATTATTCCTTCTACTCCCAGGGCAGAGTTTGAATGGTTTGAATGATTTTTTCTGGTTAGCGTTTTTTTAGCGAGTTGATTTTCTACGGGATGGGGTCGCTAACCCCATGCCCAACCCTCCTCCTTTACCCGGGCTTGGGACCGGCAGTAGCCCCTGGAGGAGCTACAGGCGGAGTTTCTTTTTTTTTCTAAATATTATTTTACTTAAAAGTTATGTTCATAAGTGGTGTATATAGGTTTCATTGACTCGATTCTTTGCGTATTATTTCTTCCTATGTTTTTCCCATCTAATCATGATGGCTTACTGTTTTTCATTTGATGGTAGTTGTGGCAAGTATTTTTGATAGATTTATCTACTAATATTGAAAAATCCCACTTTTTAGATCATTAAGTCCCTTTCTAGGCTCGAAACTCATCTAGTCAACCAATTCTGCATTTTAATTGATGTTTATGTGTGTATGTGCCTCCATTGTTATTGGAATACGTACGCTTGGTAAAGCTGAAAAATCCACTTATAATCGATTAGGAATCTTGGTCTGCGGTTTTATTACTCTATCAGGCATCATAGAAGCCTGTGTACAAAGCTGAGATTTAATGTTATATCATTTGTCTCTGCTCTTGAGTTATGTAAACCTAGCATTTTCTCCTTCTGAATTGGATGTTTTCCATAGTCACCACATACTAGTCAATATAATTCTGCTGTTTTAATAGTGCTTTGTACTACATATAAATTAAATAGCTGAATGATGAGAACATGAACGTGGTTCATGGAAGGGGTCTGCCTTCAGTGATTTTATGGCTCTGAGAATAAAATCATCCAAAAGTGATCTCTTTGCTACATAAAATTATGGTTCTTTTCGTTTAAGTGACTGCTCTTCTTGTTACCCAAATAATTCAGTAATATTTCTTTTTCATACAGACTTAAAATATACAGATGTGAATTATAGCGAGAATATTTGAATAGAGATGTTTTGCGTCATTGCAATAATGAAAATTGGTGAAAATTATAACTTCTTGCCAATTCTGTTTCGTATTGCATTTATGGTGGAATTAAATGTTATGAAGGTCCCATGGTTGTGTCTTTATGATGGGTTCAAAACTCACTTTTCAAGACAGCCAACTTTTGCGTTGTTTTATGTTATTATTCCAACAGAACAAACGAAACATTTTCCTTAGAAAACTCTGTTTTATAATTCATCTTACAATAGATGCAGAGTTGTTGTGTTTACGTTTACACTACGTATTTACGTAAAATAACACATTCTGGAGTAGGCATCATGAATATTCCCTTTTTTCTTTACTTCAGGCTCAAGCTAAACAACGTGCTGGACGTGCAGGTCGTACAGGTCCTGGAAAATGTTATCGTTTGTATACTGAAAGAGCCTACAGAGATGAAATGTTAGCGACTAATGTACCAGAGATTCAAAGAACAAATCTAGCAAGTACAGTTTTACAGTTGAAAGCCATGGGTATAAATGATTTATTGTCATTTGACTTTATGGATCCTCCCCCATTACAGGTAAATAATTAACCTAAATTTTAATGTCTGATTTTTTTAATAATAATAACGTTTTATAATTTTTTCACTTGGTCTACCCTATTACTTATCTTTTACGTTCTGCGAGCTAATATTATGATTACTTAAAATACTTGATGATTAATTTCGAACTTATCAATTAGCATATGTACGAACTATTTCGAAATGTTTTCAACGCTGAATGGCTTTTCCCTTTCATTTGACAATTATTTCGTCGTCTAGGACTTCAAAGCCTTCACATCACCTACTTTTTGGTCAAGTAGTTACTTATAGAAGATGTACTACGTACTACGTAATATTGTCACATATTTTTAGACAAGAATCCGCATCTAATGTGGAATGGTAATGGAATTTGTAGAACATACAAGAGGTTGTGTGCCTTTATCGACCTGATTGATTATACACGCCTTATAAATGTCTATAGCGTACTTTTGTGTTACCAGTCATTCAAATACAACTTAAAACCAGGCAAATGTGTGCGTTGGTTCAAGTTGTCACATCCCAGTAACACAACGAGATGAAATTCTTGGGGTAAATGGCAGAGTGGTAGAGGTTGTGACAGTATTAATGGTAACAAGAAAGACTAGGTATCTAGGAAACACTTCGTGAAGAAAATATATATTGGTGAAATTATGCGAAACAATTCGTGAGGAATTAGAAACTTAGATCTATAGGAACATAAAGAGTGGATGAACTTGTACCATTGAGAACGATTTTGAGCCTGAATGAATTGATTTATTATTTTTTTGTAAGTTCTAATAACTTTTATTACATCAAAACACTGTATAGATTATAATTGTGTTATTTTTATTTAATCCTTCAGACACTTGTCGCTGCTATGGAAACTTTACATGGTTTATCTGCTCTGGATGATGAAGGATTGTTGACACGTCTTGGAAGAAGGGTATACTTTTAATGGTTAATTTTACGCTTTAAGATGTTTATTCTTCATTCCTATGGTTTTTATTTTCAAATATATACAACATGTGTTTTATATGGATATTGTTTTGTCGTTAATGAGGTCAAGTGTATTTATCACTGCCATGTATTCATTTGTAACAAATATGAAAATCTATTTCTTTTAAAAGGCAATCAAATAAATTTCTAGCCTCCTCATTTACAGTCGGCTAATAAAACCAATGGCTTTTAAATTTTACGTCTCACAGTTATCTATAACATTGCATAATAAGTTCAAATAAGCTGCTTTTTATTATACAATTTAAAATCGGTATATAGTTGTGAAGATTGTCGGTTTTTTTTCAGTTGCGATCATGACTGATCAATGTTAAGTGTTCGTGCGCGAGATCGAAGATCCTGAGTTTTAGTCCCGCGTGGGGGATCGTGGATACACACTTCTGAGTAGTTCCATACTAGGACGAAAAGGCTGTCCAATGCTCTCAGGTTTTCAATGTTGGTCTAACATTGATCGGTTCATGATCTCAATTCAAAATCAATTATTCCGTTGTTACTCGTTATTATGGTGTTTTTCACCTCTTGGATACCTGGTATTTTAATCATTAAATAATAATCAGTCTACTTTCAAGATCAGGGTTATTATTGTTATCATTATTGCTTTTATTATTCTAATCCCTTTGATATTTGTTTTTTAAGTGGATAAAATTCAAAAACATCATCATGCTTTTCATACATACACAATATCTATTGATGATAAGATTGATTACAAGATTAAGCACTGTGGATGAAAACAATTTTAGTATTATACAGTTATAACTTCTTTTTAGTATAACCCTTAATTTTGACGAACTAATTTTTGTAAACTGTACCAATGTCACTCTCTACCACTGTTCTCATTTTATGCCCATTTTTTTTCTTTTATTCGTTTGTTTATCCATTACTTGTTGTTCAATTTTTTTGTTTGTTTATGAAATCTAGTTTATGGAAGTTCTGTGTATGTTCTTGTGTGTTTGGACACATACGCACGCACACAAACATATACATATGTACACTTAAGCACAAGTGGTGAATGCTCCGTTGTGCATGTATTAGCATTAGTTACCATTTCAGATGATAAGTAGTATATTGTCGATCTAGTTTTATACATCTTCATGCGCTAGATTTGGACTATTGTCCTAATTTAGGTGAATTTGTTTGGTAAACATTTTATTGTTAGGATACAGAATAACAGAAAGTCAATAAAGTTTTATTAATGATCTATCGTGGATAATAATAATATTGATGAAGTATTGTTTTTGCGAACATTCTGTTATTATTTTTGCGGGTTCCTGTTATTTACTTGAAGGAAAAGATATATCAGCCGAGGGTGTGTGAGTACATTCTCCCTCTCGAAATGCTCTCACATGGCCACGCGTTTATAGCTGCTGCCAACGAAGTTCTTCTCACTACCTTCTCGCTGTGGGGGTGTTGTTTACGAAATCGAGAAGACAATAAGCGAATGTCTGGTGCTTTAACTGGGTTGGTGGATACGGAGGATCCATCCAGCGGAGTTAGAAAACTCTCACTCCAAACCAATGGTACACATAAGTTCCAGGATCCTGGATAAACATATGACGTATAATCCTATTGTTGGTCACCGGCTACCATGGGACTGCATCTTCTAACGTTGCTCCATTGTCTTGTGGATTAGACCTGTAGGCCAAAGGTTCGATGAGTGGTCTCTTAAGAGAATCACCTGCTTGTGTCGGAGCAACAGGCCAACATCTCAATCGTCACACAAATCGAATGATGAAATGTTATGCATATATATATTTAATGCCTCTTTCTACCAATATTTTCGTGTTTAAATAAATAAATAAATAGTCACACCATTAATTACCAATATGAATACCAGATGAGAAATAAAATCACGCATGTGCACTACATTAATTCTCATTATCAGAATTATTCGATATGATCATTTTTTGTGAAATTAGACCTTTCAATATAGCATATGCACAAGTATCTGAATTTTGTGCTAAGATAAATCCACCATCCTGGTTCATTAATACAAACTACTCTTCAATAATCCTGTACTTAGTCGGTGCTACTTTCTTCAAAGGTTATTGGTTCGGGACTGTACAGCTATCCAAGTGGCTTCTTTTTTTTAAAAAAAATTAAAAACTCTGGTCAAAACTATCATAATCTTAAGTAGGGATGTGAATTGTTAACAATGTTTAAGTTTATGCTTTATACTGTTCGATTATATCTGTTATACATTTAAGGAAAAGTTACATCTTACTACCATCTAGAAAAAAAAGGATAATAAAATCCAATTTAGACTAATTATATATTTCCTGGAAATTCTTTTAACAATAATAAAAACAATAATAATAATTATTAATAATGGCTTTATTGAACGTCTAGGGGTTCCCTGACACAAAACTGGTTTTTAACTGTTCTTTAGTTTATAATAAGAATCGCCCTTGGATTAAGTAAAATCTCTCACTAATTCATTAATTTCTACATTGAAATTATTATTATTATTATTATTCATAAGCGCATCTGAATAAGTTATACGATTAATAGACATAATGATGTGCTAAAACAAACAAAAAAACAGATAATTTATTGAAATATGTAGATGGCAGGAACAGGTAACCTGGATATACAATCAGACCTCAAAAATTTGGTTAATTAGGTCACAAACAAATCAGACTCTGAGAATACATCGTTATGTTGACAAAACTTATGTGCGGAAACCCATTTACTTGTTTCTTTTCTTTATTTGATATTCTTTTTCTTGATTTTATGAGTTTGTTGCTCGTTTTTCATCCAATAGCTTCACTCTTTATTCACTAGGTCGTTAGTTATTTTTACTTTAATATCATAAGTTTCATACAGCCTAATGTATCTTTTTTAATTACATGACCATTGTGTTATATATAGTTATGAAATTTTTTAAAAACTTTTGTTAGAAGGTAAAGCTTTTATACAAATTTAATGTTAGTTGTTTATATAGTTGCTAGTAAAGGGGTAAAATTATTCCGTTGTTGGTTTCAAGGACTAAATTTTGATCAGTCTTTGACGGCATATGTGCATTCTGTGTGGTTTGTCTCATTAAGGCTATTTTGCTACAAGTTTTGTCAAATGTATGGATTATGTCTAGGAGGAAAATTCAGGACACTCATTCCGTCTTGTTTGGAACTCATCAGCTGGACATATCTGCATCCTAATGCTGACGTTCACATGTGGATTCAAACTGATCACCCTTCGTTTCAGCCTCAGGCGAATTTGGCTGAATAGTCCTATATATATATATATATATATATATATATATATATTGCTTTCAAGTTACGGAGTTTCAAGTCATATTTGGAATGTTTATTATACAGCTTATCCATTATACAATGGAATTTTATATCTCCCCCAATCATAATTTCAAATTATTTGTTGTTTCCATTTAACTATTTATTTCTAATACTTTTTAAGTTTACCTCGGCTGAATATTATCTAAGGAGTTAAACAAATAGATGTATATACACAAAGCCATATTCTAATCGTTGGATTATCAGTTATTTTTATCTTAAACATTTGATCCTCGATATCTGTTGCTTTTTTTGTACAATGCGGTTTGCTTTGTTAGCTCAAAAATATTAACCTTTAGTTTATTTATAAGAACTTTCGTCTAAATTAGAGCGAATAGTTTCACAGTATGTATAGGTAGTGTAAATGTTGTCAAAATTTATTTTTGTAAAATTGTATTTCTAACATTTCTGAAAAAAAGAACATAACACTACTACTCAGTTAATACTACTATAGGTCTGTCATGACCTGAATAACTTAGTGGTAATTTCTCTGTCAGTAACACCGAATGGTGCAGATTCGAATAGCTCAGGGACCGTTTATCCCCACGAAATCGCTGACTTGTCCCGAGTCAACACGAAACATTTGTCCAGAGCTTTCTAATAATCTACGATGTAGAATCATTTAGACCAGTCACCAAATTACAACTTGGGTGGTAGGACTCAGTCAACGCTAATGACTAGGTAAACTTGGTATTGGCTGTTACTCAATGATTGACAAATTGTAACAAGAACTAACCATTCGACGTACTTTACTGAACAGATGAGATGACTATTACACTTATTTTAGAATATAGTACACTGAAAGAATTCGATTGTCTATCATTCTTTCTATTGGTTCACCATAAATGTACGGAAAATATTCTGATTATTTATCCAAGTTATTATTCAATTTTTCAAACCGTTGCTTCAAATGTTTTCGCATCCAAGGTTTTTCTCTCGTATCGACTTGAGTTATCACTCTTCTGTTGTTCGCAATTTAATCTGTTATTCAATCTTTTATCCATTCGATTTGATTGTTTACACTACCCTATTTCCATCCTGATGATTTCTTCGTTGTCGTAATCTCGGCATAGATAAAGTCTTCTCGGCTTTTCCTAATTTCTGTTACCTGCAGCGCAGGCGAAATATGTGTACGTTTTAAAGGGCGAGTCTATTGTATATCAGTTTACTATATTACTATACAGGTCTTCAACAACCTACAAAACTAAAGGATATAAGAAGACTGAAAGTTTTTGATTGTGGGTGTATTCTAAATCTTCCACACGCTTGGTGAACAATAATAAGGTTACTTAGTAGGGTCTATAAGTTGGTTGATAACTCTGGATGAGATTACATTGTTGGGACATATACTACGCATGCTTAGGCAATGCATCTCGAATCGCTAAATGAGATGACATTCGAGTTGGGGTGGAAGAAATTTAAAGGCAGCGTAACTGAAACATATAATCATTAAGTATCACTCCGAGCTATACGAGAAAGTTTAGACTTCTTGATTGATACTTGACATCAATAATTGTAACCATTGAGTGACAGCGAGAAGTTGATCTATAGTTTCCTGTCGTCTCATACCTTTTATCCTTCAATCCCATTCGTTGTTCAACCACACTTTTCCATGTTCAGCTTTACATGACAGTGAATATTACTTCTCCCTCTTGTGTTTATCACATGTTTTTGTTATGTCGTGGTATCTTGACCGGTTATACATTTTTGCAAGGTCTACCTTGTCTAAGACTGAAATGGCTGACAGACTATAAAAATTTATTCTTCGGTTTTTTTTTCTCATTACTTATTTTTCTTCATCGTTTTGTTAAGTGTAGATGGCTGAATTCCCTCTTGAACCAATGCTTTCTAAAATGTTAATTATGTCAGTGCATTTACAATGTTCTGAAGAAGTATTAACTGTCGTTTCAATGCTATCTGTTCAAAATGTTTTCTATCGTCCTAAGGTTAGTATAAACTTTTTTTTGTTTTAATATGAAGAAATAATCTATAGTTTTCACTGTCTATAGTTTGTGTTGAAGTTAATTAAGAATTAATTGTTTTACTTTGAATAAGTAAAAAAATAAAGGTAATGAAATATTTTTTCTAGTTTTATTGTGTAAACTGAATCTTGGTTTTGGATGTACCAACCATTAGTTATATAGGTAGAATAATGCATTTCTTTTTATATATTATTGTGAAATAAAGAGAGTGAGTTGACCAATTTAATTAGTTTTGACATTCACTGAGATTCTAATCAATGTGTAAATCGAGTGTTGGTGATTCAAAGTTGTTCGGTTTGGTTGGTAGTATTTATGTATATTTACACAATTACCTCAGTATGAAAGCGTTTAAGCCAATACTTGATATCAGTCCATGAAGTAATTGATTATTAGATTAAGTGGTGTTATTAGTTACAGATTATCTGATTAGAAAGAGTCCTTGCGGTTGTCGTAACCAATAGTTGGGTGAGTTATGTGACATGTAGCCGAATACAATATGACAGATGTATTCACTCTTCGTTTCCCCTTGAATCTTGAGTTTTAAAATCATCTCATACTTTTTCTTCTGCGAATTCATTATACCTTGTTGAATCTGTTTGTCTATATCTAACGTTCCCCGTTACTTCTAATACTGTTGTTACTTTTGCTACTGTGAAAGTTGTTTTAATAATTTCGTCTAGCTATTATGCTGTTTCGATGTGACAGCTTAAGCTATCTCTTTCTATACTAATTTAGGAGAAAACTGAATTGGCTGATCAACGTAAAGCGAAGTTTCATCAACCTGAAGGTGATCATCTTACTCTATTGGCTGTATACAATGCATGGAAGAATAATAAATTCTCTGCTCCATGGTGTTATGATAATTTTCTACAAGCAAGAACATTAAAACGTGCTCAAGATGTACGTAAACAATTGCTTGGTATTATGGACAGGTAGGTATTTACTGTTTATTGTTTTACTATTAGATTAATTCTGCCATAACATATTGTTGTTAGTATATCAGTAGTTCCAGTATGGGAATTTGTGGAGATTCTACTGTGAAATTCAGTAGTTATCAGTGTAGGATTAGGGTTTTGTGAAGATTATAGGATTTTTTCTATAGATTCAATTATCTCGAACTGATCAGCAGTTGTTGAATCATAATCAATAGTGTATTGCATAGCAGTGCTCAACATCAAACAACATTTATTCATCGAGTTTACAATGTACCTAGTATTAGTCCATTTTCCTCTTGATTTTCTTTCCAATACATGGTTTTTTCTTCTACATATTTTTCATATACAATAAATCTTGTTCTTTCATTCCTATTCTTGTTTTGTTTCGTATTGCTTAGAAATGTTTCGGTTATTTGAAGTGATACTATTATGTGTTTCTCTGTTGCATTTACGGTTTATCTGAATAGAAATTTAATTCAAACTGCTGTTGTTATTTTTCTGGATTAAGTTTTATTTTCTAAATTTTTCATGAAAACTAGTGACAAATAATCCCCAAAGTAAGGTCGACATTATTTAAGTACCAAAATATTGTTTTCTGTTTCTGATATCGTTTAGAATCGTAAAGGTTTGTATTGAAAGATATGTCATTACAGGTTGAAACCGATTGAACATTGACCACAATAAATTGTGTGTAGGAGATTAACAAAATATTATAGTAAATTCAATAATCCGCATAGGACAAACACAAGAAAGTTAATTTTATATAAAGCTTTAATCTTCAAGGAAAATACGTTTTGAAATAATATTCAGAATTTCAGGGAGCATATTCTGTGTCTGTTTAGTTAATATTTCTCACATATTGTATAATATTTTTTAGAAATTTTAAATTAATATCATGAGTGGATGAATGTTGGACCATCGTTAAAAATCTAGAAGTACTGGACGGCCGTGTCGTCTTAGTATGGGCCTCCTCAGCAGTGCGCATAGGCGATCCCACCTGTGGTCTAACACTCATCCATTCACTATATCAATTTAAACTCAGCAATCTCCATAAACCTCTAACAATAGTTTTTTTAAATTGTAAGTATCAACTTTATTTTCAGATATGATTTTTGTTGTTTCGGTCTTATGTATTTATTTATTTAAACACAAAAATATTGGTAGAAGGAGGCATCAAATATATATATATATATATATATATATATATATATATATATATATATATATGCGCCACACTTCATCATTTGATTTGTGTGACGATTGAGATATTGCCCTGTTGCTCTGACACAAGCAGGTGATTCTCTTAGGAGACCACTCTTCGAGTCTTTGGCCTACAGATCTAATCCACAAGACAATGGAGCAACGTTAGAAGATGCAGTCCCATGGTAGCCGGTGACCAACAATAGGATTATACGTCATATGTTTATCCAGGATCCTGGAACTTATGTGTACCATTGGTTTGGAGTGAGAGTTTTCTAACTCCAGTGGATGGATTTTCCGTATCCACTAACCCGGTTAAAGTGCCGGACATTTGCCCTCAAATACCCTTGTTCGACCGAAAGTGGGGAGAGTCTTCTCTTCCTCTTGAAATGCTCTCTGATGCACACTCCTAGAGAAATCCTACTCAATTTCTTCTCGCTGCGGGGATGTTGTGTACGAAATTAAGAGTCTTATGTAATATACGTCATATATTTTTCTGCCCATTTCAGACATAAACTTGATGTAGTTTCATGCGGTAAAAAGACTGCATTAGCACAGAAAGCAATTTTGTCTGGATTCTTTCGTAATGCTGCAAAGAAAGATCCACAAGAAGGTTATCGTACTCTGGTTGACCAACAAGTTGTTTATATTCATCCATCATCTGCATTATTTAATAGACAACCAGATTGGTAAGTTCATTCTTCCTTCAGTGTTTCTCTATGTTGTATTGCAGTTATTCGATTATTGATTTTGTTTATACCAATGTGTGATGCATTGTCAAGAAATCAATGCTGTCTCTTATATAAAAAGTTTAATGTATACTGTTGAATTTTCCTGAACATTTTCAACTGTATTTTTTGTAAAAATGTACGGAATAGACATTCACATTCCCATGAACAGAAATTAAATTGATTTAATGCATTTGCTCCATTCATGATATGAAATCTTGTTATGTGTAAAGAGAGGTAATTGAAAGCCACTGTATCTGTGCCATTCACAACACTGACGATTTAATGAAATGCTTAGCTAAAAAAAATGCGTAAATTGCACAACAGTATTCAACTTCTGTAGTCAACTGTTAATTAGAAATAATTCGAGAAAATCCTAGGTATTCAGTCGTACGTGTCTTTGATATGCAGTAGCTATGTATAGTGTAACAATTAAATAAAAACTATCAAAATCAATTTTTAAGGTCTCAGATTATTAAATCTACTGTTACGCAATCTAATTATTATTTCACACTGGGTGACATATTGCCTAGCTTATGTTTAGTATTAGTTTGATTCAGACTTGTATTTTTATCAAAAAGAAAAGCTGAACATGATTAATGATTTTTGATATGATTCGAGACTTTTTGGATTTGTTCTTGATAAAAGGGATTGTTAACTTGATCTAAAATTCATTTAGTTTTGTAGATTCACTCTGATTCTATATTGTACTTAAAATTAACCGAATATTTTTCCACATGTACACATTTCAACTTCGTATATATATATATATATATATATATCCCGCGTGCGGGGTCGTGGGTGCACACTACTAAAAAGTCCCATACTAGGATGAAACGGCCGTCCAGTGCTTCCACATTTTCACTGGTGGTTTAGCTTAGACCGACCCGTGAATTCAACCGTTAAAAACTATGAGGACCCACCGTCATATATTTTTCTTAAATGCATACAGAAAAAACATGTAAGGCCTATAATAAAATTTCATGCCTTATTGTATAAATGCAATATGTAAGGCACCCTTTAATTCATTTATATCATAAATGTATGACCTACTAAATATACATTTTTTATGGTTTCTCCCTTTTTTGTTCTACTTATTTCCAAGTAACCATCGATACCAATAACATACGATGTGTAGAACTAGTTTTAGTATATCTATATAAATATTTTTAGGTTGAAAATTATTAGATTTATTCGACAAAACAATAAAACACAGAGGTGCAGAGTACAATGTAAACTAGAGAAATCTTATCCCAATTTGTTGACATTAACTTGTTAACCTTCTTTCCCACTTCTTTTTTTTACTACTCATGAGGAAGGAGTAAACTAGAGCGTCGAGAAGAGTAAAAAGCGAATAAATAAGTAAATAAATAAACAATTTTTTGTGTTCTACTATGTACTGATATACACACCAACTTGTGAAGTAACTGTGGTGGTTTTCGTAGCAGTAGTAGAATTATTAAGTAATCACCTAATTCTATGTACGTATGCTTCATTTTAGTGAGAATAATCCTTGAGTTTGAGGGGAGACTAAGTTTATATATATATATATATATATATATATATATATATATATATATATATATATATCATGAAATGTTTATTTATGAATTATTATTACCATCGTTTGGTAACAAAATAAAGCTACTTAAAAGAGAGGATGAATAAATTATCGATCATTAAAAGAACATTAATTTTATGATTTTTTTTACTGTACATATGATTATATAAAATACGCATAATTATATGTCAAGTAAGTTTTGGTTAAAAGCTGTTTACATACGTAGTTGATATCATGTAGATTCAAATAATATAGCGATGATAGGATTCTGTATGTTTTCTGAAATTGAAGTCATGGTAATTAAGAGTTCTCACATAGTACATATCTTACAATTGATTGGTTGCTGAGAGGTGACCAATATCATATTGGTGTAGTCCTTTAAGTGCTAATCGAATTCTATCGATTAATTTACAATGTGGCCACTAGTCATAAGGTTTCGTAGTCTGAGAGGCCTTACAACTGAGCTGTTTAGGATAGGACTGGCGCGGGTTTGAATCCCACAAGGAGCACTAATTTCTTCAAGACTGCAGGCACATCTTGTTGACGAGTTCCAATTGCTCTGAAATCTAGGTCTATTAGTTTCTGTAGACTGTCTACAACCAATTATCAATAAAAATCATAGTTAAATTAGTGGATTATCTGTTTACTTTTGAAATTAATTCCCTATAAATTTTATATTAGTTCAAGGTAATTTTAACCACCGACTGTGATGTTAACATGATATTCATTAACAACCGGGTAGTAGACTGTATGCGGTGATATAAACGCCACTCTACTTTTCGATGGTAATAATGACTTAAGCTTCTCATATATTCTAAGCATTAATATTAATTATTGATTTACTTAGTAGTTTCTATTTCTTTAATAAAACAAACCATCATTATGATTAATTACTTCTGTTTTGATTTATGATTTAATCATTATACGTAACCAATGAGAAATCTAATTTAAATATTCTCATGTTTTGTTTTGATTTAATTCATAAACCTTTTTTTTAAAGATACCTCTCTTAGTTTCCTGTTTGTTGGTAATTAAATTTCAAGGTGGAACTATCATCGAATATGATAATTCTTATAAATAATAACTTTATATCATATCAGAAGGGGTTTTGTGGAGATTTCAGGGTTCGAATCTCACGAGGCGAGATTGTGGATGCGCACTGCTGGGGAGTCTCAATAGGACGAGACGGCCGTCCAGTGCTTCCAGGTTTTCCTTGGTGGTCTAACTTCAATTGACTGATGCTTCCAACTATGAAAACTTTATATCGCTCTAATTCATACTATAAATGAATTTTAATAATTAGAAAAAAAAGGAAAATAGACGAAAGGATAAGCATTAATTCGTGATATTTACAATTAGATTAGACTTATTAAAAATTAATAACTTTTTTTAGATTCTAATCACCTTGTACTAATAAGTACTTATAGAATATTTAATTTAAAATGTTCACTTTCTCTCTCTCTCTCTCTCTCCTTATTAAATTATTTCATTTAGGGTTGTCTATCATGAATTAGTTATGACTACTAAAGAATATATGCGTGAAGTGACCACAATTGATCCAAGATGGTTAGTAGAATTTGCACCGAATTTCTTTAAATTTGGCGATCCAACTAAATTATCACGTACTAAAAAATCAATGAGAATTGAACCATTATTTAGTAAATTTGAAGAAAAAGATTCATGGCGTATTTCACGTGTTCCAAGGAAATTTCATGTTAAAGTTACATTTTAATATTTCATTCATTCATTCCTTTATTATTATTCAACTTTTGTTTCCATACAATTTTTTTTTGTTTTCCTCTTAAGCAAACACTTGTTTATTTATTATTTTGTACAGATGCCAAGTGTATTTTTAAGAATTCATATAATTTGCTATTTAATCTTTAATGGAAATGATTGTAAAATGTGACGTCATCTTTGCCCAGTTTTTTTTTCTTCTTTGAATACGGCTTCTCTCTTCTTTTTTTACAGAAAGATCAATATACTATTTGTATTTTATCATTTTATCTATGTAATGAACTTGAGTTTGTGGTAAAAAATATGTATAGTTTTTCATTGGTTTCATATTTTGATGTTTTAATAATCATACTCTGCTAAAATTTGTCTTAATTACATGGGCATGAACTTTTTGTATTCTTATCAGAAGGGGTTTTTGTGGAGATTTAGTATTTTCATAGTTGAAAGCGTGAGTTAATTAAAGCTAGACCACTAGGGAAAACCTGGTTGGAGTTAGACATAAAGACCATTAGATGCCGGCTCAGTGGTCTATCGGTTAAGTGCTCTGTCTCGAGACCGGTAGGTCCTGGGTTCGAATCTCGCGAGGCGAGGTCGTGGATGCGCAGTGCTGAGGAGTCTTACAATTTTCGTATTCTCACAGAATTGTTTGTTGTCTTTCTTTTGTTTAACCTGTTGTGCCATTAATCATCACAAATTTAAGAAGTTGAATTTTATTCACATCATTACAGGGCTTAACACAAATATTCATTAGCCCAAGACAACAAACCAAAGTAGCATGACTAGATACAACTAACAAAACGATCAATGAAGGGATTGAAATCGTAAAGTAGACAATTAGAGACTGAACATTAAGAATACGATATAAAATAGTATGTATGAAAGACTAATAGAAATTAAGATCTAAAGGAAGATAAAGTGTGGATATATCTATGTCTTTATGATGGATTCTATCTTCATCTACGAACAGTGACTTCATGGACTGATGTTATATCTTGGTTCGGTTGCCCTAACTTTCTTCCAACTTCTCAGAAAAAAAATCTTTCGAGTTAAACGATTATTAGCCGTACGTAACTTGTTGTCTAACCATCTCAATCAATGAGAACTGATGACCTCATCAACTGATTTGGCACCATTTCCTAGTATCTTCTATTTAACCCTAACATTTTTCATTCGATCGCTCCACGAAACGCGAACAGTACTTGAACACACTTATTACCGAAAACTTGCAGCTTACACATGTCTTCTATTTTCATAGATCACATTTCATAGCCATAAAATAATAAACAGTGGAGTGTTGGACTGCTTACACGCCCTTAATTTGGCAGACAGACACTTCTCCTATGCCGTCAGCTGCAAGAGTTAGCCGGGTTTTCGTCAGACACCAGGGTTTGATTGAACTTACAAGGTACGTGAATTGGTCAGCGCGCTTAACTATTTCACTGACTGTCATTAGTTTAGGCGTTGATACAGACCGGTCCTGAAACAACATTTTGAATTTAGAGGGAGAGAGAAATACCTGTACTATTGCTCAAGGCGATCTCTTCACCATGTAGGACAATGCTATCTACATATTTTAAGTCGATAAGTGAACCTGGTTACAGATCAAACCCTAAAATGTTGAGTGGAAAATTAAAGATTTTAGGAGGGTTGCTGACCTAGCTACTTAATGCACGATTTATTAGGTACTGAATCACTAACTCGTCTATAAAAGTTGTGATATGTAGACAATGTTATTAGTTTTTATGAAATAAATGTTGCTCGCAGTCCGGTCTACAAATGGAAATGGTGCTAGTTTCATAGAATGCACTGGTAATTTTATATTCATTTGTAACTCAGTAATGACGAGGAGTTTATTGAAAAAGATTCTCTATTTTCTTGTTTTAAATCTGAATTTGGCACAGAAATAATTGATTAGCAAAATTTTAAGTTATTGAATTTACTCAACGTGTTTTGAACATTGAAGCTTGTAGTTAATCATATATAGTGATAATGATTATTAAGCCTTATATTAAATTCTGATAATCACAATGTTTTGACAGTTCACGTATAATCGGTTTACTGTAAACGTAATTATGCGATTGATTATAGATTTCATATGAACTTTAGTTCTACAAATCCATACGTTTAGAAAAAAAAAATCATTTTTCTAGAAAATATACACTAGGCAGTTTAAAATTGGAAAAAAGTGTAGGCTAAAGGCGTTTATATTTTGTGTAGAGTCATGGATAACATAACATTTAGTAGGTAAGTAATAGAATGACATTTGATTTCTACAATGAATGCATTCATCAAATCAATAGTTAAGAACAAATTGTAAACATTAGAGTACTCCAGTTCTAGTTCAAATCAAAAGTGGATAGTAAGATCAAGTTTGTCATATTTTACTACTCTGTCTTATCGATTATCCCTGCTTTTAATATAGCGAAGCAGTCTCTCACCATGACAAGAAAATATAAATTATTTTTAAAACCTTAAATCAAACTTCATATCCTTGCTTATTGAAGGCGGAAATTGCGAAGTGACTAGATGTGATTTAACATCCTAGAAAATTTATTTACTTCGAATTTGATTTACGTTGACTTATGCAGTGTCATAGTTGCTCAGTCCTAAATAGAGTGGTTATTTACTTGCCACTGTTAACGAGAAATTTGTTTGTGAAAGGAAATCGCCCACGTGATATTCAAACATTTGACTTTCAACTGGTGGACCGCAAGTCCGAATCTAACTCCAATTAATTTGGTTTGGGCAACTAGTTTTTACTAATAAGCATCTCACAAACAGTGGTTCACAGTTGAATACATAAACTTATACTCGTTAGATGCGTTACACATATTTTGCAGATGTACAAGACATTTATCTACAAATATACGTTGACTATGATTACTAAGTATTCGTCAATTAAAGCCGATCTGTAAGGAACTCAACCTAGGTTTCATGCTGGTTGGCACTTGTAAGCAAGAGGTAATTGCAATCCTTAGTAGAATTATATCACCATTTGAATTTAAACCCTCAGTGTCAGTTAGTAATGTTACGATCTCGGTATTTTGGGTAGTAAATAACCTTCTGTAAGATATGTTTAGATTGAAATGTGTCTTGTCCGCTTGTGTATTTATTTTTTGTAGAGCTATTTAATTTAATGTTTCCACATGTGCATGATGTTAGCTGTAACAAGTGAATATAAATTATGCTTGTCTGTATTTATTCAATTTAAGGAAATATTATCACCCTGTTTTATACATTTTCTTGCTTTAACTCATTAATGTCCCAAAAATGAAGGATATGAGTTAAACAATTACTGTCTTAGTTCATGTTCATACAATAAGAATAACAAGTGCAGAAATAATCAAGCTGTCAGTAGATGAAAATGAGAACAAAATTCAACAAATAAAAATGAGTAAAACTAGTAGGTGAACGATAAAAATCAATAGTGTTCAAAAATAAAAAAAGAAGATAGGGTTTAAAAGAATTTGTTCTACTATAACATTTATAAATCTCAGTATGGTATAATGTTAAAACAAGCCTAAAACATTAGCGATGAATTTATCGCCATTTCTTAGCAAGCCAGAAACTACCGTTTGTAAATGGATAATCAATAGAGAAGAAAACAAGAACATTACTAAGTGCACAGAGATTTTATAAAATTAATGAATCTATTAACATATCACTCAAGTTACTCTACCTGTAAATAGACAAAACAAGGATATATAAGTTCATGCTCATGCGCGTACATTGTCCGTTTTTCCCAATCTTTTGAGGTAACCAAACAGACTTTTTAGATTCTTACTAATGTTCTTAGTTAGGATTAATTATTCAGGGTTAAGATTAGGGGTTTAAAGTTAGGGTACCTGTCATGAACCGACATAAACTATTCTGTAAAGTGCTCTGTAATCATATTTATGAATGAATTTCATACAAAAATCAAAGGGACTCTATAGAATATAGAGTCCCACCAGGTTAATTTATGTTTCAAGATAAAAGGGTTTAGTGTTAAGATTTAGGAATAGCGTTAATTAATTTGTCTGTTATTTACAATCTACAATGACAACACTGAGGATTTAACACATTTAACACCGTTAATTTCACACAATGATAACAGGAAAAATGTAACTTTTCATTATCATTTCAAACGTTCTGAGTAATATATATAAAGATATTTCTAATGCTATTTTCTGTGATTTGATTGTCTAGATGAGTGTAATATACTTCAAAACGGTGTAAAATGTTTTGTATATGTGTTCCTAGGTTTTTGATATGTTTCTATAATTGAACAGAAATTAAATTATATAAGCAAGTGAATTTAAACTTCAATCCATTGCACAAGCCAGTGGCTGTCAGAACTCAGTAGCTAAGTGAATAACTCGATGGCGTTTGAAGCGAACGGAGAATCTTGCTTTTCCCTTTGTTATTCATTTCTTTAGTTGATAACTTCTAATAAAAACTAAGAATTATTCAATTTATTTATGTGTGATTTTGAATTATAATGTGGATAATAGCTAGCAGTAGAATGATAAATTTATATTTCATTTTATTTAAGATTTTTTAGATTAAAATAACTTGATCCAAGTTCTAATATTAACAAAGAGATTGGAATCTAGTGTCCATTGTTTAAAACATCAGGACACTGTTCACTAGACGACAGACATAGTGATATCCACTTGTACAACTAGCATAGTATTTGTTTTAAGTTGTAAAGTTTTATAGTTGAAGGTAAGTTGGTAGAAAATCTGGACTTATTTTTCACTCTAATTAGCATGGATCACTTAGATCCCACAGAGATTATCTGTCCCTACAACAGTGGTGGTTAGTTTGAAACCTGGACACACAGTTTTCTGCCGACTACTTCCAATTATCTAGTGTCAACATTTTTTAAAGAAAATTCAAATTTTTCAAAAAAGTCGAAACTATTAGGATCAAGCTAAATAATAAAATGAAAAGAGAATATTCAAAATTAGAAAGATAGGAATTCTTTTGTTTTATTAATTCATAGTAAGTTAC